AAAAATAATAGTAATTAGTAGTAAATATTGGTCATTATTACTTTTGCCATTTCCTGAATTTGAATATTGAGATTTTTCAAAACATGCTCTGCATCTAAACTATAACGTAGATAAAAATGTTCAAACACAATTTGACCTTTATCTGGCCATTCTTTAGGTGGCTTTTTATCTAAAGCAGAAACAAAAATTTGAATAAAAGTATACCTTAAAATGGTGAATAGTATTCATTAAATAGTGTATATCAAAGGGATTAATTTTAAACTGTGCATTGAGGCTCTTAGAGCTATAACAAGAATTTGTGAAGGGAATCACGTCGAAGCACCGAAAAACATTATTATAATTTAGGTCTCTGGTCTTGTATAGGTAATCATTATATGTACATATTATTTGTAATCATTATGAAAAGTTAACGAATCACACCACGCAACCTTTTGAAGTTTTATTTCAATTACTAAAGTCACCATCATTTTCACAGATGTTGATTCTATTCTATGCGTATGTTGTTTAAATGTTATCATAATAATTCGGGAGCCATCAACATATTGTRAACACTCGACAGGATAAAAATGTTTAGTACCTCTGCCTATATAGGTGTACATCAATGTCAGTACGGACCATAACCTTGATAAAATAAGCATGATGAATAAGCATAAGATTCGATAAGATTTTGATAATATAGACCCATTACTTYTTAAGTTTATTAATCTGAAGACAAAAAGTATATCTTAATTATTTTCAAAATTATTTACCTACGTCTTTTTAATTATTGAACCATACAATATGCACAGTGTAATGCTACCTCAACATTTAATATTTATTAGAAAGTTTCAAAATATTTATATTACAAATATATTATTACCTGGAGAAGATTCAATAGAAGCTTCCTGTGGAACATTTGTATACTCAAGTACTCTCTCAACAGAGGTCATTTGATTATCTAATTCTGCTAATTGTCTTATTCCCCACTGGAGAGCACCCGTTAAACTGATTGCTTGAGTTATAACCAATCCAACATCTCCCCCAAAATAATCTAAAAATTAAGTAACATAATTCATAAAAATTAAAATAAATTTCAAAAGAATAAACTGTATATTACCATTGTTTAAGACTAAGAAACTTAATGTTAAAATACATATATAAATGAAACATATCAAGTCCAACGAAAATCCGAATGCTTCACTTGATGTTATAAATAAATACCAAGTCGAGGAATGTAAATCCTAAACGTTATAAACGAATCATTAGCATTTTATTAAGGAGTAATATATTTTGTTTACTTGGTGTTCATCAAATTCTTTGCACAAAATGTCTTCGACTTCAAACGCTCGGATAGTAGTTAATCCTTGAAGCGACGCATTCAAATATCCATACACGGGACTACGGGCTGTGTTTTATTTTTGAAACATAAAATAATTCGTTGTTAAAAACACTACACGTTATACAATAATTAACTCAGTACTTACTAACACCTTCCAAACGTTTGATACTACGTGATGTTGATAAATAAAAATTAACAGTATAATAACACAATAATCCTATGATGAAAGTCGGTATTAGAAGATAATAGTTGATTAAACCAACAACTATAAGAGTTCCTATAAGTTGCAACGCTATCTGGAAAAACGATACAAATACAAAAATAAGTTTAGTACGCAGTATAAATTCATATGTTTTAATTGATTATTATAACGAGGAAACAACATGAATTTAATGTAAATACATGAACAAAATCCAACAAAGGCACTGGCAATATTTCATCAATAGCACCAATATCTTTAGTGAAGCGGTTAAGAATTCGACCTGAAAAAATAATATTGTCTTCCTATTAAATAATCAGTTCAATAACTATTTAAAAAACTCGTTACC